TTGCCTATGTTTGCTGGCATTAGTTTAGTTCGTTCTTGCTGAGCCGTATGCAGTGCTCTGATTCAATGCAGTTCTTTTTATTAGTTTTATCTATTTTTCGCAACTTCTTGATCATTTCATCATGTCCTCATGCAATTAAAGAGGGAATAATTGAAGGGATTTTGTGTAAATTCTTTTTGCTCTCTATATATAGTGGAGTACAGGAAAGTATTTGGGCAGCTTTCACCTCGAGCAATTTACCAGCGATGAGGCGATTGATTGATTGATGGGCAGATGCAGATTATCACTGTTTAAAATTGCTCCAATGCTAACAAATCTTTCTTCTGGATGAATTGTCCGGAACGTCTTCTCATCAGATTATATTATTTCAGAATGTCGTCGCGAAGGCGTGTGCAGAAAATCAGCTACTCCGAAGGTAAGAGTGAAATGGCTATTTGGATTTGTTCAATGGTGCATCGCAGCCTAAAGCTTTCACTTTTCTTACATGTTTCGCTATAATCACGATATGGTGACTATCATTTTTTTTGATTGGGCGACGAGAGAACCTGAAACACCAGTGACTGCAGAAAATAGTCTGCCGTTTACATTACTTTTGCTTTGCGGAGAAATTATCATACTCAGCCATAGATGGTTTTGTTTTCTGTAGAAATAATACTTTTTGAGCGCCAGAAAATCTACTTGTTCCTTAGTAGAACTAGAAGTTAATCTTCCCTATCCCGTAATTCATCTCAGGTTGTCACTTTTCCAGATCTGGACGATGATGATGATTACTATGGACGATCCTTTGAGGAGGAAGTTGCGATGTCTCCTAGCGTCAGTAAGTATATTCATTCATCTTTAAAGTTTGCTAAGCCCGATGTGAACACATCGTTTTAAGTTCAAACAGATTTTTGACAAATTAGATTAATAATCGATCACCCACAATGTAGATGAATACATGTACCAACGCCAACGTATGGTTCCTGAATTCAAGTTAGGCTCGAAATTGAGTGATTTTATCCCGGAAGAACGTCGAGCTCCCGATGAATACGGTGATGACGATATGTTCGATATGGAAGAGGATAACGGTGATTACTTTTTGTGTTTAGCTTATCACCCATATTCGCAATCAGAACTTTTAGCGAAGAGTAGTAAGCCCGCGCCGCCCACGGCACCATCAACTTCCACAGCGTTGGATACTGGTCCACCCCCCGGATTGGGATTTGATCAACCGCGTCGTAATTCTAAACCGATTGTGATATCCTTAGGACCGATAGCAGGCCATGGGGAAGAAAAGGTACGTAGCTGACTCCAACAACTGTAACAAGGTAAATTTTTACTTACGCTTGAAATTGCCATTGCCTTTTTTCAGCCCGTAATCCCAAACATTACGAACCTTCGCATTTCTGAAGCCGAGCGTAGTGAAGGGAATAAATCACCCACTAGAAAAAAGGCTTCCATGACGTCCGCGGCAACATTGCCGGCAAATTCCAGCAGTCATAGGTAGAAAACAATTTTATTTAAAATAA